GCTTATGCATCAACCCTCACTGCTGGTCGAATGAAGTTGGTTCCCCGAGCTTCTAAATGCATATTTCTTGGTTGCAAATCTGGTACTAAAGGTTATATTCTCTACAACTTACATTCTAGATCTTTTTTTATTTCTAGGAATGTTGTTTTTCATGAATCAGTATTTCCATATCCTGTTTTTCATAATTCTTCACCTAGTTCAAGTGCCATGCTCACTGAATCTATCAATGATTTTGCACACTATGAACTTTACAATCCCATTGTGAATGTTCAAGCTGATACAACTCATGTTTTAGAACCAACTGATGCTAACATTTCCAATGAAAAATCTCCAGCAGAAGAAATACACGTCCTGCCTATGTAACAGAGAGTTTCTATGAGACAAAAGTCTAGGCCTAGCTACTTAGATCAATATCACTGCTACAATGTTATTCCTTCCAATTCTATTTCTAATTCCACTTATCTTTATCCATTGCATTTATACATGTCATATAATAAATGATCTTCTAACCACACTGCTTTTTGCCATTCTATCTCTGCACATGTTGAGCCCTCAAGTTACAAAGAAGCCATCTCCCAAGACTGCTGGAAGCAAGCCATGATGACTGAACTTGATGCTTTGACTAGAAACAAGACCTGGTCTTTGGTTTCACTTCCTCCTGACAAGAAGTTAATTGGCTGTAAATGGGTTTATAGGGTCAAACACAAGGCAGATGGCTCTGTTAATAGATATAAAGCTCGACTAGTGGCCAAGGGTTTCACTCAAACTGAAGGCATCGACTATTTTGAGACTTTTTCACCAGTTGCTAAACTCACAACTGTAAGGTTTCTATTGGCTTTAGCTTCCACTCATAATTGGTTCCTTCATCAATTAGATGTAGACAATGCCTTTCTACATGAAAATTTAGAAGAAGAGGTTTATATGAGACCCCCTCAAGGACTACAGCTACCTAATTCAAAGCTCGTTTGCAAATTGGAAAAATCGTTGTATGGCTTGAAACAAGCCAGTAGGAATTGGAATCAGAAATTAATTTCTGAGCTGCTTCATCTTGGGTATGAACAAAGCCCAGCTGATCATTCATTATTTATCAAGAAACAGGGTGCTTCAATCACAATTTTGCTTGTATACGTTGATGACGTTGTCTTAAGTGGCAACAATTTTTTAGAAATTCAATCTGTTAAGCAGCATCTCCATTAGAAATTCCAAATCAAAGACCTTGGCCCTCTGAAATTCTTCTTAGGACTTGAAGTGACTAGATCTAAGAATGGGCTTATTTTAAACCAGAGAAAATATTGCTTGGAACTTATTGATGAATCTGGATTACTTGGCTCCAAATCTGCACCTACACTTGCAGATCCTTCTATGAAACTACATGTAGATGAAGGTTCACTTTTGCTTGATCCAACCAGCTTCAGAAGATTAATTGGTAGGCTGCTTTACCTTACCAACACAAGGCCAAATATTAGTTTTTCAGTCCAACAACTGAGTCAATTTGTCTCTTAGCCTAGAGAACCACATATGCAAGCCGCTTTGAGGATTGTTAGATACCTCAAGGGAGCACGAGGCCTTGGTCTGCTCTATCCCTCTGCCAATCCTCTCAAAATTCAGGCTTTTGCAGATTCAGGTTGGGCTACTTGTGGTACTACTCACAAATCAGTCACAGGGTACTGTGTTTTCCTTGGCAAATCTCTAATGTCATGGAAGTCCAAGAAACAATCAATTGTTTCAAGATCATCTTCAGAAGTTGAGTATAGGGCATTGGCTACTCTTACATGTGAACTTCAATGGTTGAAATTTTTGTCTAACTGTCTCTTTGTTCAAATTCCAACTCCATTCTCTGTATTTTCTGACAGCCAATCTGCCATTCAAATTGCCAAAAATCCCAATTTTCATGAGAGGACCAAACATATTGAAGTTGATTGTCATATCATTCGAATCAAACTTCAGGAAGGATTGTTGCACCTCATTCATGTTCTTTCAGCAAATCAGCTAGCAGATGCATTCACTAAGTACCTATATCCAAAGGCTTTTCAGCATGCTATCTCCAAGTTGGGTCTTTCCAACATACACGACCCACCTTGAAGAGGGGTATTAAGAATAATGAGATTTTTCTCATTAGTTAGTCTGTGATTAAATCAGTTAATTTTAACCATGGTTAGTGACTGCCCAATGTATTGTATATATATTACACTAATACTTGAGAACTGGTGTGCTGGATGAATGAAGCAAGATAACAAATTCTTTTCATGATTGCTAACACACAGTATTTGCCAATCAACATTTTTGCCGCAAACATATCTCATGTGAGTGACAATAAAAGAAACTCAAATGCCTCCTAAGAATGAAAAAAAAAAAAAAAAAGAATGTTTAGATTGCAACATGAAACGGAGTAAAGAACTCAACTACTCTCCGTTATAACATGTCTTACTCACGACAAATCACTAGGAAGCACAGATACGTGTGAACGGATAAAAACGTAAATGATAAATATAATTAATAACATGAATAAGAGAAATAAAAAGTGTTACGTGAATGTTTGTAAATTTTTAATGTCTAAAAAACATTACTAGATTACATCAGTGATAGATATGAACATTAGTCAGTCAATAGTCATCATAAATATAATAAAAACTATAATTGGTGTGATATTCTAACTGGCACTAACATAAATATATAAAATGTATAAAATTATATAAAAAAATTACAATTAAAAATATTAATTCATGTAATATCTAATATAGATACATATCTTACACAGTTTTGACACAACAGACATTATTTGGAAGAGTTCGTTTTTAGGTTTTGTTGGGATTAAAATTTTCGAAACAGAAATCTCCAAGCCCCGTGGCACAATATCACACAAGAGTTTTAGACAATCACTCTATTCTTTGGATTAGTATCTTTTATGAGGAGATTAATTTGCAAATAATCATAATATACCCAACAAACTGTTAAGCAGGTTCCATATCAAACAAAGATAAGATACTAACTACATTTATTTATTATATTATATATCCAACTGTCACGTTTGACTCTAATCGTCCCCATACCATAGCGAAATATTATAACGGGTGAATTTCTCTCACTAACGAAGATGAGAGAATAATTTGATGTCTCTCGTTATATATACACATCTTTATATTAATCATACACCTCGATTATATACATTTTTTTCTTCAAAATATTTTTGTGGAACGTTTGGTAAAAAATAAATAAATATTTTTGAAAATTTAATATTGAGAATGTTAATTTTTTCTCTTTTATTTATTATTTAAAAAATAATATTCTTAAAAATTATTGTTTCTTGAAAATGGTTTTTTATATATTATTCACAAAATTATTCTTATATGGAGGTGTGAAACTAACTTCTAATTAAATAAATTTTAATGCGATAAAAATATAATGTTACATTTATTTACTTATTTAATATAATAATAATTCACTTTAAAAACATTAATAGAAATATTTATGATCAACTAAATATGATTTTCAAAATTTATAATTTTCAAGTACGAAAAAATTTATCATAGACCAAAATTCTCAATTTTATGAACCCCTTGTCTTCAAGGTTTTTTTTTTTCCCAACCACTCACCCCCACTTCTTCACATGCACCCCTTTTTGCTCTCTTGCATCCAACGCTCAACTATTTCTTTCAAATACTCACCCTTTTTCACACACATCTTATTTTGCCTCCTTGTCTCTAACATTCAAATTTGTTTTTCAAGTACTTACCCCTTTCACACGCACTCCCTTCCCCCATTTTTTAGAATTTTAAAACAAACTAAAATTTTATAATTATAAATTTTCTTCAAAAATAT